AAAATGAAACATAAAAAAATAGCATTAATAAAAGAAACAGGGGATCGGAAAAAAAAGTTGATCATGCATTTGTGGTCGTTTGTTGCGCGGCGGTGAAACGTGCCAAAACGATTTGATGGAAAACGTTGCGCGCGCGAGGCGTGCGAGGGAGCGGAGCGCGACACGACGAAAAACACGGCGACTTGACTTACGCCTCGCCATACGCGAACCAGCAGCGGCCGGCGCGTTACTTTTAACAGACTGGACCCCACAGCGCGCCGGGCGGAGAGGCGGCGCGGGTGTCTTTTCTTTCTGGAAACCATAAAGCGGCGGCCGACACGTCGTTTTCGATCTGGTTCTTGTCCCGTGTCTCTCCGCATCACCCCCGCAGCACCGCCGCCTGTACCGGAGTGTGATCGAATGGGGTACCCTCGACGCGCTTCATCGGCCCATTTGACGGCGGTAAATGTCGTGCGCGGTAAAAACGAGCCCTGGGATTCCCAGGAGTTTTCTTCATTTTCCAGGGGAGTTGGAAGTGTACCAGGGGTTGCCTTGGAAATGTGCAATTTTCCCAGGGGATTTCCTGGGTTTTCCAGTAGATCCCCTGGGAGCAATTGCTTGTTTTCAGGGCATTCACTGGGGTTCCAACTTTCCTGGGAATCCCACGATTCGTTTTTACCGTGTGTAGTAAGGGCTTCACCGATAGGAAACACCACCAAAAAACGACCAATAAAACACGTTGAGTGAACACATTGGAGCTGCCGACCCATCGGTGGCGGCCGATTAGTGAATAAACCAGCTGCTTATGATTATCATTATGTATACACTCTTCCTTCCCTCCTCGGGCCGGCCACATCCTCCTCCCCCCCTCCTCGCATCCTGCCCCGCCCCTCGCCATATTAGGCTCAAATGACGATGACGGCGGCGCAAAGGGGCAGCAGCTCCGCGAGCGCACCGAGGTGGCGTGGCGTAGCGGTTGCTAATCACGGGGGAATATTTTCATGCCAACGTTAGAGTAGTATGGGGAACGGCCCGCGTAAACACACAGCAGCGCAGCTGCGGAGCTATACGGCCGCCCCTTATGGGGGCCGTTTGATATAGGAGCGGCCCGGGACGGGGTGGTCATGATAAAAGCCATTTGCGAGACTATTTAGCACGTCGCCGGGCGGGGCGGGGCGAGGCGGGGCGGGTCTCGTGGCGCGGCCCGTCACCCCGCCGCGCCTCGCGGGGTGCTGCTGCTGCTGGGCCGCGCGGCGGCCGTGCGCTGCGGCGGCGGTGGTGGTGGTGGTGAGGTATTTTGGCAGGCCTTCAACGCTGGCCATATTTGGGCGTCGCAGCTGTGCTGGTCCGCACCGCACCACCGCCTTGCCTGCTTGCGCTAGACCGACCGCACTGTACCGCAGGCGGCGCGGCGCTGTGACGAGCCGCGCGAGTTCTCTATGCCGACGAGTTATCTCTCCGTGTGACGTCGTCGTCGCCGCCGTCGGGCTCGGCCGCACCGCGCACCGTGCGAATACGTCGACGACGACGATTTGGAAGGAGGAGAAGCAGCGTGGGCCGTTTTGTGTCGCAAAAGGAAAGCCGCGGCCCGTGGTGGGCACTGATGATGGGGTGATAATGAGGTGGTCCTCGCATCCGCGGGGGAGGCGCGCCGCGGGGCGGGGTGGGGCGGGGCGGAGACTTCAACGCGCCGGTGACGGGCGTGCTCCTGCCCGTGGTGATGACGCACGAGATGCTGCCGCCACCTGGTCGTCCCTGCTGCCGTCCGCCCCCCGTGGCTCGCATTTCGTGCACATTATTGTCTGGACCGGAAACGCAACGCACATAGCGCCGAACCGGAACCGGCGGCGGTGTTGCTGAAGTTTTGTTCCGGCACCCGGACGTGCAGCGGCGCGGCTGCAGCAGGCAGGTTGATTTGCAAGATGTGGTCTGGGGCCAGTGTGACCCGCAGCCATGCGGAGCGGCGCGGCCCGGCGGTGCCCGGGGCCCGGAGGGCGGGGCGAGGTGGGGCCTAATAAAGGATGGGCAGGGCGTCGCCTCCAGCGACTGTGACGCATTCTGTCGCGCGGCCCCGGGAACACTCCGGGGGCTTTATTGGCCCGAGCGAGCAGGCCTGGAAAATGTGTCTTGTTTACAGCGGCGCTTCTTACCTTGAGCCAGTCCCGGAGCCAGGACACCTCGGGCTTGGGGTCACCGACCACCTCGCACACGATGAGGACGTTGTCGCCCTCCTCGACGTCGAAGGACCTCGGCTTGCGGATGAAGGCGGGCTCCTTGGAGTACCTGCGCACGCACAGCGGGCGGTGATGTTCAAACAACGCATTCACAAAAATGAATGGTTTCGTTTTGTCTGTTGTTGTGTTGCGCGCCGTGCCGAGTTTTTTCCCGCCCTGCGAGAGACCCCACAACAAGTTTTCCATCAATGTGCCGACTCTCGCGTGTGACTCACTGCATGTCCCCTTCGCGCCGTACAGGAGCGCCAGACGCTTTACAGTCGCACTGGGCCGCCCATACAAAGTGCCTCATCTCGGCCGCGGCGGCGAGAGCCCGCCCCGCGCCGGCGCGCTGCCTCCACTCCCCGCAGCTGCTGGACGCGACGCGGCGCGGCCCAGCGTCTTGGCGGCCGACGCCGACAACAACGACGACTGGCCGGCCGTTTAGCTAGGATTTTTACCGACGTTTCGAGACGGCGCCGGCACCTGTCCGTCCTGTCCGCCCTCGCCCGCAGCAGAGCCGGCTTCTCGGACCTGGGCAGCCAGTGCCGCCGCCGCGTCGCGTCCCTGGGCGCCGCGGCCTCGCCTTGCGGTGTGCAGTTACGCCCCTCGGCCGCCACGCCCCGGCGTGTGTGTGTGTGTGTGGCGGCGTGGAGCCGGGCCGCACAAAGTACGCCGCCGCCGTGGCTGGGCGAGGACCGATACTACCGGGGCGGGGCCGCGTCCTGCAGAGTCGGCCACCTCACTCCAGTCGACGTGGGGCCCTGGGGCCTCCTGTGGGTGCGAGCGAGACAGGGGGACGCGGGGCTTCGCGGACGAGGCGGTGGCCTTCCCTCTTCACTGCCGATGCCGGCGGTCGGCGGCCTGGGCTGCGGACGCCGCCCGTCAGAACGCCGTCGGGGCCTTCGCGGGGCCGGGGGGCCGCCGGGTGGCGCCTGCCGGCTCAGAGGGAGGGGAGGGCGGCGCGGGGAGGCCGGCCGATCTCAGACAGTTGACATGAGATATAAATGCGCCGTGCTTTTTCATCCGTGCGGCAATAAAAGGGACGCCCCGGGCTTTGCTGACCGCCCGTCCGGTCCGGCTCGGGCCGTAAGACGTGAGCCGCCCGCTGACGTCCGGGGGGAGGTCGCTCGCGGTACTCACGGGAGGTCGGAGGCCGGCGGCGCGTCGTCGTCGTCCTCGCCGTCCACCAGGGTGGCGGCCACCGGCCCGTCGGCGGGCACGACGCGCACCCTGGCCGTGCTGGTGGCGCGGCCCACCTCGTTGGAGGCCGTGCACGTGTACAGCCCCGCGTCGCGCGCCGTCACGTGGCGCACGTCCAGCTCCACGCGCCCGTCCCGGTCCAGGGTGGCCGTCGTGTGCTGCGACTGGCGCAGGCGGACGGCGTCTCGGTGCCTGCGAATAGTTATGACATCTCTTGACTTCTCACGACAACAAAAGATAACAACTTATCATTTTGCTAAAACATGAAATTCTTGGAAATTCCCTAATAACAATGGAAAACTTGGAAAATATCGTACATAGTTTTCAGTTGAATATTCTTAAATTGCATTGTCTGAAATATGTTAACTTTTTGCAGTGCGCGGGTACTCACCAGACTACACCGACGCTCGGGTAGGCCTCGACGATGGCGAACAGGTGCAGGTCCTCGCCCTCGCGCACCTCGACCTCGCGGGCGGGCCCCACCTCGGCGACAAACTCGGGCGCCACGTAGGCGCGGATGCCCTTGTCGACGACCAGCGTGCAGCGGCAGGTGACGGCGCCCAGGGCCGAGGTGGCCGTGGCCGAGTACTCGCCGCCGTCCTCGAGCAGCGCGCCGCTCAGGTCCAGCGAGTGGAAGCCATCGTCCGAGCGCACGAACGAGATCCGGTCTGCAGGCGAGGGAAAGTGCCGCGTCAGTGCGCCGTGTCGGTAGGCAACCCAACGTACTCCCGCGCGCGCTGAGGCAGCATATTGCCTATCTCCTCCCCCGCAGGCGCTCAACTGCGCCACTCGATCATTACTTTCGCCGTCTGGACGGCTTAGGGGTCGTGCTCAAATTACGTGATTTTCGACGGGTGGGGTACTTTTCTTGCGGCATTTGAACTCAGCGTTGCAAACAAAAGTGTTTGGTAAGGCCATGATAATTGTATCCCTATATGTATTTTTTTTCGGGTCAGGTTACTTTATCATAGCGCCTAAAAAGCTTCCGCCTTCAACCTTGAATGTAAATAGAGGGCCGTTAATAAAGTATCCCCCATCCGAAAATTACGTATTTAGTGCACATTTCCCGCAGGTGTCTAAACGTATGCCTTAGGACTGGAACTTACCGTTCTCCTTGAGGGCCTCGCCGTCCCGCTGCCAGGTGACGCTCGGCTCGGGGCAGCCCACAGCCTGGCAGGTGAGCCGCACGGGGTAGGACTGCTGCACCCGCCGGTCTCGGAGCCGCATGGTGAACTGCGGAGGGAAGTCCCCCTCCGGCAGGATGGCGTCCCTGCGCGTGCGATCGGTATGGGGATTATGTGTCTCAGTGGTGTGGTGTAGTACTTGCCAATTTTGGCGTACATTTAATGCTGCCGCTGTGGGATTTTTTCATACACAATTAACTACATGATTGCCCTCGTGGGGTTATTTTGGTGGCGTGAGAGTGAGGTAAAGAAGAATGGGTGTAGCATGCTGCTGTTTTGTGCCAGCGTAAAAGTGAAAGGCTATCCGATCACTGGGAGTGGTTAAAGCCTATCACTTCTACCACACACGTTACAACTTAGTTGAAATGGAGCCACTTCTTGCTAAAGTGCACCGGGTCTTTTCACTCACCGGGCTCGATTAATGAAAAAAAAAAAGCGTTGTGAGGGAGCTGTGGAAGAAGCGAGGACACGGTTTAGGGTTCAGGGGGGTGGTGGACCAAAAGAAAGACACTCTGCTTGTTTTGAAGAAGTTTATTCAAACAAAAAAATGAAATTATCACACAAAAATAAGCTTCAGATACCTATCCTAATCAACACAAAAAAGGCTGATTAGGAAACATCATCTATGAAAACAAAACAGCGAGACATACACGTGACCGGTCTCGTCAAGGGAGCTAGTTCCCGCTTAGCTTTACAGGTGGGGGCGTCTCCCCTCCCTGCCCTGGTGGCCTGGCGTGGTGGGGCGTGGCGGGCGGGGCGCTGGGCAGGGCAGGGCGAGGTTGGCGACGTCCAAAGGGGGAATTTCAAATCGCGGCCGTCTTGAACTCATCACGTGATCTCCGCCCCCTTGAAATCCCTGGACAGAGAGACGACAAAATGTCATTCTGCCTTTGCTTTTGATCCACTGCTCTTTCAGCAAATTCAGACGTCCCCCTCGGGGAGTAAGCAAGCATGCAGGTGAGGGCAGAACGTTTTAATGGCAGGATACACTCGTTAACTATACGTTATTTAGATATGATTCCAATAAATTGGATTATGATTTATTTAGTGTTTTTTTTTTTTACAATTAGTATGATAAGTTTAATTTTAAATTTGACAGGTTAAGAGTTAAGTTTTTTGATAGTTCGTGTTTTGTCAGAGGACAAAATACAATTATAATTGATTGTAGGGTGGTTTGTTGAATCCCGAGACTGAACATAAAAACAATTTGTAAAGATATATGAAAAAAAATTAACATGAAGGTATGAGAAACTTTCATTTTTACGGCCAGTTTCGGGATTTCTCGAAGCATCCACTCCTATTCCCCAGCCGTAGTAACACATTTGTTTCCCCCACAGGCTCACCTGCGCAGCTTGGTGTCGGCGTGCAGCAGCTGCGGGTCGCTGACGACCTGGAGCCGCACGAAGGTGGACACCCTGCCGGCCGAGTTGGAGGCCTCGCAGCAGTAGCGGCCGGCGTCGTCCTCGCGCACCCCGGTGAGCGTGAGGCGGCACAGGCCGCCCTCGCGCACCAGGGCGATGTGGCCCTCCTTGGCCTCCACCGCGTCCAGGTCAAGCGTCCAGCGCGTCTGCGGGCTCGGGTCGCCGCGGACCTGCGCAGCGAAATGTCCAGGTGAGGGCGCGGAAGGGTGACACAAACGCTGTGAAAACCTTGCAAACGGTTGTGGCTGCTCTGTTATTGAGAACCAATTACGAACGACTTTCTTTTTGTATTGCGATGAAAATCCTTCGCAATCGTAATGGAATTCGTAACTACAAAGCAGCTGAATCCTTCGCAACACGATGGGAAGGGGGGGGGGGCACGTTTTCCCGGTTTTCCCCTTCTGGTAGAGACAGTCCTGGCGACTGAAAACCTTCGCAAGGGGGTATGGTCTCGAGCTGCGCTGTAGCGCCTACCTGGCACTCGATGACGATGTCCTGGCCGCGGAGCGCCTTGATGTGGCCGGCCAGCGGCCTGGTGAACTCGGGCAGCGTGGGCGCGCCCGGCTGCACGCGCAGCGGCGCCGACACGAGCGCCTCGCCCCAGCCGTGCCGGTTGCGGGGCGTGATGCGCAGGCGGTAGTCGGCGCCGGCCACCAGCCCGAACGCGTCGTACGCGTTGGTTGGCGAGATGCCCAGCTGAAAAAAACAACAACAAAAAAACACAGTAAAAAACGTTTTGATACAGTAATATTGCACCGGGTCAGCAGGTGTGATGTGATGACATCGCTCCTCCCTGGTCGTACTCCACTCACCTCGCCCCACCTAGCGCCGCCCTCGGAGCCGAGGCGCCAGGCCTCCACGCGGTAGGCCAGGACCGGCGCGTCGCCGTGGTGGATGGGCTTGGGCCACGTCAGGGTCACGCAGTTGCGCCCGCTGTCCGCGATGACCGGCTCCCCGGCGATTGGCCCCGGTACCTCTGCAGATAGACGCAAAACAGCGTGTCAGAAAAGATCTATACTGACTGAGATTGTATGTTTCTTCGTGGTGTATTGTTTTTGTTTTGAGCAATTATGGACCTAGATGTTGACTTTTTAGTCCAAGACAACTTATTCCACCACACCGAAGGATTTTGAACTAAAATAGAGGTCTTCTTATTTGAGAATGGTGAATTACTTCAGGAGTTAACTGAGATTCTTCGACGCATCTCAGGCGTGTTTTTGCGACGCGACGCATGTTGAGAACAAAGGGACACAGCGCTACATAAATATCTTCGCGGGGACCACACGCTGCCAGTGTGTGAGCCAGGTGTCTGCGGAAATTGTCATAAGCGTCTTCCTCTTCGCCCACCTCCACCTTGCCCCCTATTTTCCCCCCCTATCCATCCCTATTTTTCACTCAGAGAGAGGAGAGAGAGAGAGAGAGAGAGAGAGAGAGAGAGATCTAATAAGAATAAGGACAGGGTTGTGATTCGTCTTGGCAAGCGCGCGTACAAGACTAAATGAACGGCAACGAGAGGAGGCTGCCAACACTAGCTGACGCCAGTCTGAGCTGCAGACGCCGCGTGAGTTCGGAAGCTTAATAAGACGAATAAATAGCTCCCTTTAACGCGTACACGCACCACATTGCCTGCCGTTTCGCTCGGTGCACGAATGCGTCTGACGCCAGCGTGTTTGCCAATGCTGCTGTAATTCTGGCTTCTATTTCTTGTTTCCAAAATATTTTTCTCGTACTGAATGTTAAACAATCGTTAGTTCCGGGTCCGGAATAATTTGAAAACGCTCGTACAGTCTCGTCTAGAGAAGGAAGGAACGCATTGTAGGATCTATATACAGTGTGTCCTATCCACGGTAAAAAAAGTTTCTCGTATTTCAAAACAGGGTTTTGGATGCCATTGGCGTTCTTCGTAAGATCCAAGACTGGGTCTTTAAAATACAAGTAACCTTTTTCTACGATGTTGTCCTATGGTCACTTACCATTTTTGATAACACTGGTATGCAAGTACGTGTGGGTGAGCGCCTACTCGCTCAGTGCCACTAGGCGGCGCATTGTACCAAAATAAAATAAGAGCACTGGGTCTCTTATGAGACATAGTGTATATCCACCCATTTAACTAAGAGTGCTTGGTCTGTCCTAGCCACCTACCGCTAATTCATTCGGATGGAAGTGACAGAAACCATCAAGGCCTTTCCCCTGCATGCTTCCGCCTGCCGTGGAGCTTACCATGGTCGGCGGCGAGGTACAGGAGGAACTCGGACGCGAAGCCGTGACTCTTGGCCCACATGTCCTTCAGGTCGTGCATGAGGTTCTGTCGGCACAGGTCACCGTCGCCCTCCGTGATGGTCATCGTCACTCGCGCTCGCTACTCGGGGCTTCTCTGTTGTCCGGCCCTAAAGGGACGCAATGGTTTCGCCGGTTCGGATGGTCGGCCTACGGAACACCCACAAACTCTGCGAGCACGATATGCGATGCGGTCTGCTTTGGGCGACGGCGGGACGCGCGCGCGAGGGTGTCTCTGCCAAGACTAGGCCACGTCTGCGCCGCTGGGGTTCGGGTTCGGCCCGGGCTCTCTAGGCCAGGCGAGTCCACCCGCTTCGCAAAATAACTGTCAGGGTCGCGCGACGCCTGCCTACGACGCCCCCTTCCCCTCTCAAATCCCCCAGGGTACCCACCCCATGCGCCCAGCTCTGGCTCGCCTCCTCTTGCATCACGCGATGCAATTGCTCCCCTTTGTGTGTGTATCTCCTCTCTCTCTCTCTCTCTCTCTCTCTCTCCCTCTCCCCTCTCTCCCTCTCCTCCCCTCTCTC